CGCGTCATCCCTCTCGCTGTTTGCTTCATCTCTCTCGTGAATTGCATCCCTCAAGGCTTGCTGAGCTGCATCATGTTGCCTGCGGCTGTCCTCCCACATCGTCCGCCATCGCTCAAGCGCGCGTCTCATCCGCATAGCTTGCACAACAAGCTGATCGCAGCTTTGCATAAGTCTCCCCCTTGCAGCTCGAAGTCTGTCGACAACTGAATTTGCCCACCTCCTCGCATTTCTGTTGTCTTGCGTCACCTGCGTCTTGCATACGTGCCGACCGTGCCGAATACGCACAGTGATACTGTCTTCTCTCGCCACCAAAAAGGTATGGAGGAAACTCACCTCTCGCTCCGTCTTCTCCAACTCTTCACGCAATGCATACCTTTCCCACACATAGCCTCTCTCACCATCGCCGTTTGCCATGACTGGTGGCCCGTCACTTTAGTTCTGGAGAAACACAACAACTGTCCCTCAGACTCTCGGATGACTGACGTAGATTACAGAGGTGGATGAAGGCGTCGGAGTCTGTTCACTGTCTGCGAAGATCATACAAGCGCACCACCTCCGCACACAAGGCGTCTCTCATGCCCTGCCCGCATTCACGACCGAACATGCACTCAAGGGGGCATCCGTCAGCTTGCCTGTCGACCCCGGGAGGTGGCATAGGCGGAGAACAGCCATCAGAGTCGTCGCTGTCTTGTTCGGGAACATCTCCCCACACCTGCAGCAGATTGTGCAGAATACAACAGGCGTGGAACTCCAAGCCTTCTCTTTTTATCTCCGCCACGTGTGAATGATAGCAAAACTGGAAGCGCATTTTAAAAACCCCAAAAAACCGCTCTACACAAGATCGGACAATCTTGTGCAGGGAATCGAAGACCTGCATGTTTCGTGTGACATTGCCCTGCTGCCCATACGGTGTCACGAGCCACGGGAGACTGGGGTAACCTCCGTCCCCGAGCAAGTACCCACCAGGCACACCAGGGATGACTGGCCTCTCGGCACGGAAAGGGTCGCCCTCTTCATCCAAGAACAGTGTGCCCTTCAACGCTCTGCAGTATAACGACGTGTGCTTCAGCACACGAGCATCGCCAACAGTCCCCGGGAAACCGTAACAGAAGTCCAGGATTTTGAGGTCGTAGTCCACAACCAGCTGTGCCACGACAGAGAACCGCTTGTTTCGGCCGGAACAATAATCATCACTGTAGCGTGCGTGGGGCTTGTCCATAAACACATGAGTACAGTCTATGCACCCCCAGCAATTGCGGAAACCCTCCTGATCGAACACGTCTATGCGGGCATGACGTTCCTCGTGGTCCCCAAACCCAATAACATTCGGGTAAGATGCAATGATGGCCTCCACAACCTCTCGCATAGCACGCACGCCACTGGTTTTGCCGAGTCCATAAGCAGAACAACTGTGCCAATGTGCGTCGCCATGAGCCCACCTGTGGATAGCGTACGCCAGCTTCTTGGCCGGCGGGAGAGGCAGGCGGAATCTTGTCACTTGTTTCTCAAGCGACGGCCAACCCTCCGCAGAAGCCGATCGAATGTCGACGTCGCATTCGGAGAAGGCTTATGTAATGGTCGTTCTGCACATCGTCAACAGGAAGGAGATCCTCCCATAGACCTCCACTCCGACGCATGACCCACCATCTAGGCGAGGCATGAGGGAGCAAGTCCAGCAGGTCGACAATTGCAGGCCACAACCACAACAGACTGTGCCCGCCGGTTCTATCGTCATCTTCATCTTCCAGCACTGATGCCAGACAAGCATCAGCACCGTGGTTTGCAGAGAGCAGACGTGTTGGGGGAGGGCCCATGATAATGTCCATCATGTGAAAAGCATCTTCTGCCATTTTGCCGGCTATGGCCATGACAGCCACACCAAGCTGTTCGTGATCCCTCCTTCTCAACCGAGGCATTTGCCAGTACACTTAAAATGGCAGAGACAGGGTTCAACCCGCCTCAGAATCAATGCCCTTACGTAAACCCCAAAAAATGCCCTCTCGTAACCCCTAACATCTATTTCTTACTGCGCACCAATGGAGGCGGGAGCACAGGCTGCCCTCAAGCACCTTACATGCACGACCCAAACGAACAGGTAATGGCACCGAGTTATCGATAAGAGCACTGCTAAACAGCATGGCCGAAATGGACACGACGCCAGCCACGGGCAAGAGACACAGGAAAAGTCCCTGTTTCCACATTCCAGCTGAGTGCTGCCCACAGTCCACAGAGTGTGCAAGGACACTTTGTTGAACAGCGTTCGCCCGATACAGCCCGACCACCACACATCTGTGAAGCACTGTGAGCAGGCGTGAGCGTCGGGATTGCAGGCTTCCCTCAAAACTCGGGGATCCTGACAGACTTGCGCAAAAAAGTTGTGCAAAAAAAAAAACGCCGATTTTCTTTTTCGATTATAAAAACTAATTATAAACTTGATAAAAACCCAAAAAAGACGTCACACACATCGTAATATACTCGGCTAGTGGGTCGAGGGCCCAGGGGGTGTGTGTTTCAAAAAAAAAAAAAAAAAAGATGCTCTCTCGAACGAAGGGGGCTCTTCTGGTCGGGTGCAGGATTTTTTATTTTTTTTTGAAAGGCAATGCTCCAATCTATTCGTGGGGAGCAGCACGTGTGGGCAGCGTCTCGTATGAGCATTTTACAGAACAGTTTTAAGGTACCGGGGCCATTACCTGGCTTCGGCTGAGAAATCAACTCATATGAGAAAACGTACCATCCAGAACCACTAAGATACAAAGATCTTACACTTCCCCTGAGACCCTCTGAGGCTAGCTCTAGTGGGCCCTCCAATCCCTGCCTCACCTCACTTGTCCGCAGACCAAGACTCTACCAGGCCTCATGCCCCATCGCTAGGTTACAGGGCAGCACGACCCACTCCAGCTCCGTCCAGCGTCAGCCTGCTGGTATACACGGATCGCCACTGGAATTGCCTTCCACCCTCAACAACTCCCCAAATCTCTACCAGGCCTCATGCCCCCACCTAACTCGTGTTACAGGGCCGCATGACCAAACCCCAGCGCCAGCCAGTGTTGTTCTGGCATCAGCCCTTCTTAAACTACGGCATGACGGCTCAGCAGGACAGCGGACAGGCCACCACACACCACTAAGGTCGCCCTGCCCTCAGTTCCAATCCTACTGTATGCAGTCTTCGAACAGTACTCGAATAAGTGCGCACCCAACCAAACCCAATTGACACCTTCTACCAACGCAGCCATATTCAAACAGAGAAAACCGGATCTGTTTACCAGGCCTTACAACCCCAACAGGCTGGGTTGCAGAGTTGCGCCACCTCGCTCCGGCTCCGGCCTGCGTTGCTCCGGCTTCAAGCCCGTTAGCCACTGGAACTGCCCCCCCCAAAACAGTCCCCCAGATCTATCTACCAGGCCTCATGCCCCCGATAGGCTGGGCTACAGGGTTGGGCCACCTTGCCCCAGCTGCGGCCAGCGTTGCTCTAGCATCGGCCACGTGCACCACTGAATACAATTGCCTTGGCAAAGTCGCCAATGGGCTATCGAATCTCCCCCATTCCTAAACTCCTGACCACTTGATAATGTTGACGATGTTGATAATACAAATGATACTGGTGAGCCAAACGCCACAGGGCATAGAACTTTCCTTTCGCCCCCTCTACCGCTCACCCTGTCCCAACACTGCCCCTGCTGAGGAGAGCTACCCTCCTCAGTCCCAACGTTTGACAGACCCACTCCCTACCCCCTGCTTCCTCAAGGACAAGCAGTTCCCACCTAAAGAATGCCCTTGCCAACCCCTTGGCCCTATCTGCCCACGCTGGGGTTGGGCGCAAAACCATCTCTCAACCCCAGCCCCAGAATGGGACAGCCCCCAAGATCTGCCCCTATCCCCTTCACGGCTTTCACCCCCCACCTTGTGAAGCCCCTGTGGAGCCGTGCTCCCCATCTCGCACCCAACCCTCCTACCAAGGGCTAAGTTTTCATATCTACCCTTGCCCACCACACAAAACCCAACAGAGAGAAAATCTAATGCTCCCATATAAGAAGTTTTCGTAAGAATTTATGTTGAAGTCCTAAAGAAGCTAACAAGCACTATTTGAATTTGAATTACTAGGGATAGTAGGGAATGTGTTGCCGACACGTAACTGATCGATACCGCGGACGAGGACAGTGTGCGTGTGACTAAGCCACTACCAGGTAGATAATTATAAGCAGAGGGAAAGGCCAATGTCCTTCTATTATCAGATGGTCAGGAAAGCTGGTGGTACCGCAAGGCCATCTTGGGAGAAGCCCCTAGAGGAGTGCCAGGAGTGCAACCTGGCTGAAACACGTCGGGGAATATGTGTGTTTCTACTGAGAGCTGTGCATGCAGAGTTGTAATGTTTATCTGTTGAAGCATGCGCGAGAAGCAATCTATAGCCACTGTTTGCAGTCTTCCTCTTATTCCTCTTCTTCTTCTTCTTCTTCTTCTTCTTCTGCTTCTTCTTCTTCTTCTTCTTCTTCTTCTTTCTTTCTTTTTTTCTTCCTTTTCTTCCTTCCTTCCTCCTTTCTTTTTCTTCCTTCTTCTTCCTTCTTCTTCTTTCTTCGTTCTGCCTCCTTTCGTCTTTCTTCTTCTTCTTCTTCTTCTTCTTCTTCTTCTTCTTCTTCTTCTTCTTCCTCCTCCTCCTCCTCCTCAACCTCCTCCTCTTGGCAATGAGCGGAATTGAGTGCGCTTACTCCAAGTGCAGTAGGTGCAGAAGTCAAATGATTGTACTTTGGAAGCATGTACAAATAGCGATTTGGCCACTGCTTTATCACTATTCTTCTTCTTCTCCTTCTTCTTCAGTGTCATCGTTGCCGTTCTGATCGTCTCCATCTTGGTTGATCGTCTTCATCTTGGTTGACACCTTTGTCTTTGTCTTTGTCTTTTTCTTTGTCTTTGTCTTTGTCTTTGTCTTTGTCTTCCTTTTCTGCCTTGTCCTCCTCGTCTTCGTCTTCTTCCTCCCCCTTTTGCCATTCATTTTCTCTTGGCAGGACAACCTTGATGTGATTGTGAACTACGGACAAAATGACTTGGTGGTCACTCCAGAGATGGTGGAGGCAAGCTTTCCACGCTTCCCAGGAGATGCTTCAGTGAATCTTTTTAAGAGCAAGAGCCACTATGACTTCGCATTCACAGCTTGTCAGAATGAGCCAGCTGCTCATGTTTTTTATCGCCATTTAATTTCTGATCATGGAGATGACGGCGGAGATGATGAACAGATGCAAGACATGGCAAATGATAAGCATGATTATAGACATGTTATATCCCTGTCCCTTGAGGATGTGGTGCTTTTGCACCAATTGGTGGCTCCCTGGTGGCACCCAGGCAAATCCAAATTTCATGAAGCAACCCCCAGGGCTCTCTCTTTTGGAGATAACTACCTCCTCACTCCAGGACACACAGGTTCCAAGGTCTATCCAGTTGATGGCGTGTTAGTGCAAGTTGAAACACTCCGGCAGCCAGAAACATCTCCTGCTCCTCCTCGTTCCATTACCGTTGTAAAGCCTAATGTTACAAAAGGGGGGTATGTGTATTACCCAGGTGCGTATGTGGATTCAAGAGCCTACTTGCCTTTGGCTTTTCAAATTGCAGCTCGCGGGTACATGGTGGTAATTCCGGAGTTCCCAAGACGCCTAGCGGTGACGCCAGACAGCGTACTCGTAGCAGAGCGGATCATACAGTCTAATTATACGATAATCCGAAGTGTTGCACAGGACAAATGGGCCGTAGGCGGGCACTCATTAGGTGCTGTGGCTGCGTGCAGCTATGCCGGACTCTCTCCACGCCACCCTATCCAAGCTCTTGTGATGCATGCTGGAGGGTGTCGTGACCTTCTGATGACGAATCTGACACAATCACCTTTGCCACTCGCAGACATCTATGGAAGTCTTGATTGGTTATTTGCACCCAAAGATCCTGACGATTGCTATGCCAATAGCACTCTTCATCCATTGGTCATAAACGTCACTGCGACTAAGTTCTTCAGAGTGGATGGAGCGAATCATTACCAGGTCGGGGACTATGGCTATCAGTTCAGGGACCACATTGCGACCATTGGGCAAGACGACCAGCAGCGAATGTTCGCTCAGCTTACTGCAGAATTCCTGGACAAGGCTATGGGTTATAAGTTATAACAGCTACTCATTCTACGTTGAATGGTGCAACCGTACAACACAAAATATTCTAGTGCTACCGTCGTGTTCTCAGACTGTTCTCAGCCGAAGCCGGGAATGGCCGCGGTATGGGGGTAACTCAATTAAATCGGGTTCTAACTTCTGAGGGGATAACTCACACTAAGGACTTCCCCAACTGATTCCAATGGTGTTAAAGGAACGATGTAAAAAAAAAATATAAAAAAAAATTTATAGTGCTACCGTCTCCTCCCCCCCCCACCCCGCCCACACCAACACGATGCACCCTGATAATGAATGCATACAAGAGTTAGCTATCGTTTGGGTCCGGTGCAGCCAAAATGAGAGTACGTAACCATACGTTGGGTTCGGCGGAAGAGTCTGAGGGCAGTTTGGATCAAAATGTACTAGTCAATAGCAGACTGGACTATTATGTGTTGGGGGGTGTTCCCAGAATGCTGCCGAACTTTTTTGAACAGTGCGGGACTGACAAAATCGACAGACTCAAGTTCATGAACATTTTTGTGTGCGCCTCTGCTGGGTCAGCAAAGGGATCAACATTGGGGAAAGGCAGGAGACAGGTAGGGGGACAGTTAAAGGTGGAGGGAGGGAGGGTTGGGTAAGGGGAGGAAAGCGGTGGAAACGGAGGGGAAAGGGAGCGGAAAGAGGAGGGGCGGGGGTAATGGAAGGGGAAAAAGGGTACGAGATAAGAGGGGTGTGGCAGCTATCTAGCTGCTGATAAATGTCTTGGCTGTAACTTATATAGGTAATGTGGTGAGGGAGTGGTAAAGCTTGGAAGTGGCTACCCGGGCTACCCCCATTCAGCGTTCAGGGGTTTTTCGTACGGGCTGTTCAGATCCCATTCGACCGGAATGAGCGGCCAGTGGCGAATTTTCCTTACAGTAGTTAAACCCCTTGAGAAAAACAACAAAAAAAATGGGGGCATTTCCTGACTTCTGTTTTTTTTTTTTTTTTTTAATAAAAAAAACGCATCCTTCTACTAGGGGGTGTGATACAAGCAGTCCTGACTTCTGGGGCCAAGTCCCACTAGCAGCGTTGAGCTACCTCAACGCCTGAATCTGGACGCTGTTGCGGAGATGTGCAGAAATGGTGTTGAGTTTCCTGAACTGCACTTCTCCACAAACACGTCCAGATTCAGGCGTTGAGGTAGCTCAACGCTGCTAGTGGGATTTGGCCCCCGCGCTACGTCCTTTTTTTTCCCTAAAATTTCCAGACAACAACGGCGACAGCATCAACAACAACAACTACTTCGTCGTCAGCATGGTGAGTGAGAGGCCGGGATCTGACGTAGACAGGGGGAAGGGGATTGGGGCTGAAATAAAGTGGTGTTATATCTTTCCCCCCTCCCATCCTTATATGGGATTGCTTCTTCTTGTCCGGCTCAGGGCGGGGGTAGGATAGTTGAAGTTGATTGAAATTGCCCGACCCGCAATTTCAATCAAGAAGGTTGGTGTCATGATGGAAATATGGTTGAGATGGTTGTTAACGTGGTTACGGTCTGTCCCTCAGATGACATGTTTTGGTGATGGTCCCCAATGGGAGGTGGGTAGTTTAGGGTTCCGTGCTTTGCTTTGACTTCCTTGTTTGGGGATCGTTGAAGATGCATTTTGTTAAGACAATACTTTATGAGCTGGAGGTCAATCCTCCCCTTACGCAGGGACGTAATCAATACCTCGGCTCTTTTCTGAGATGTAGGTGCAAACACATAATAGGGAGGCTGGTCCCGAAGTCCAGCTCATACACATCACATCAGTGTTAGGGCTCCGTATCACGGTAGAATGATATTTCCTCATATCACTGAATAGTGAAACGGTATTCACCTGTTAGCAGTAGCGAATGCAGGTCCCAGGGCTCGATCCCTAGTTCTTACCTTACCTGTGTACAGTACCTGTGTCGACCGCGAGAGTTGAACCCGTGACCTGTGTATTCGCACCAGTTGGTAGGC